AAAGTAGGATTGAAAATTCTCACACAGCACATAGTGACAGCACCAGAAACTGTGAACCCCTGTAAGAGGTGGCTGCTGTGAGCTGCGCAAAGGTGTGGCAAGAGTGATTAAACGTCACATTTACAGTGCTTTGCACCCCCCCACACTTCCCCTTGTACACCATAGCCCTTAATATTGAAATGGAGGGAAACAATCAATATAGTTTACAGCATTTTGTACTTATAAAATATCAAAGTTGAAATCGTATATTCACCTGTGTTGCTGTCAAACCCTTAAATTTGCTCTGGTGCAGCCAGTTACCAACAGAAAACACTGTGTATATATTGAATTCATATCTCAAATGACATTTCATTGTTTTTATGTGTGTATTTATCTCTCTCTCCCCAAAAAATGACATGCTTGTCATTGTGAAATATTATTGATTAAAGATATTTCAGACAGTGGACTTAATACAGCTCATCACTGGAGTTTATATTATGGAAAAAGCATGGGCTTTTATTAGCTTTTTTAGGTATAAATTCCAAAACTATATGGACACACAGAGCTTACACGTCAAACAGAAAGAAGACTAAGAAGAGACCGAAAGAATAAAAAATACTTTTTGATATCAACATTAATTTATTTATCACAGAAATAAATGTGGAAAGAAAAATAATATTCAAATTGAATTTCTTACCATTCCAGCACTTTTATTTTAGTTAGAATTTTAGTTGCTTTTCTTTTAGATTGTTGAAGGTACAGATAATGAGGATGGTTTAAATACAAATCAGTGTTGGTAAATAGCCCCCAAATGTGTTGATTGCAGAGAGAAGCAGTAAAAAAAAATCAAATGAAAAAGGAATTGTTGTTAAAAATGAGAGCTGTTAGCAGTAGAGATAACGTGCATGACTCTGTATTTTCTTGTTTTGGATAATGTTTTAAAATTCCGTCTTAGAGGAATAAAAGCTCCAAAGAGAGGTAAAGTAGAGAGAACAAGAAACGTTCTTTGTGCCAGAGTAAATGCCTGCATTCCTACACAAGCTGTCTGTCTGTCTGTCTGTCTTAAAAAACACACCTCCACACACACAGCACACAGACAAAGTGAAAGACAGCATATGGAGGCAAAAAAACGGAATCATTCATCTATTTGTACAGTAGTAAGAACACATGTACTGTATGCTGGTGGGAGAATAAATAAGAATTGTGAGAGCAGGCATTGTACTTCTGTAGCCATATGACAGCGACGCTTCATTGCCTGCTGAATAGAGCTAACGGCATGCAGGGGTGTTCTCTGGTTTCACCTCAACTGCAGGTCCGCCCTCATCTGGCCTCCAGCATGATGGAGTTATCACAGCAGTGTGGCTCATCTTCAACTGCCCCAATGCTCATAGTTTGGCCAGTTTTGCTTACTGCTGGCACATGCAATGTTTTGATCCACCATAGGGAGGTAATGGAATCGCGGTGTCCAACAGCTGTTTGTCTTCCATCGATCCGCCTCACCGTCTGCAATCCTCAGGCTCTGGCACATTGCTTAGAATTATTGTGCGTGCTGTGTGGTGTGTGTGTGTGTGTGTATGATGGTGTGTGGACTGATATTTGTCTGAAGTTAATTAGAGACAGTGTACTGTGTTACCACTTTGAAAGGAGAAACCCACAGACTGATATTGCACATTAAAGTAACTCGAACAGATTGGAAGGGCCGAGTAGTGGGTAGTTACAAGCTTGTTCGTCCAAACTCATTTTTTTTCCTGCCAGTATCCTTTCCCTTATTTGTTCCAGCAAATCATTTTGAGCTCCCACATGGAGAAAGACGACTAAGCCAAGCGGATATGGCCTGAGGCCATGTCATATTGTAGTATCCATTAGACCGCTCATTTTGGTCAACCAAGCACTGACTGCTACTTTACACACCATATAATGTCTCGAGATGACTTCTTGCTTGTCTCTGAGCATTTAATGGCACTACCACACCCTGTTTTTTTTTTCTAAGATCCCAAATAAAGTGCGCTAATTGAGTGTATAATTTGAAAAACTTGATGTGTACTTAGTGGATGTGTTATGGATAATTTACAGAAAAAGAACTGGATTTGCTCTATGGGGTAGTCCAAGGAAATTGAGGGGTGGGTGGGTGAGGGTGTTGGAGGGGGTCACCAAGCTACTGATATTGTGTTTATTTTCATCACCATTTAACCACCATATCCTGGTCAGGATTAAGGTTTTATCACCTGGTCAGGATTAAGGTTTTACCATTGCCTATCCTGGTAGCACTGGGCACAAGGCAGGAAAACACTCTTAATAGGATACCAACCCATTCACACACACATTTAAGTCTATTTATAGTCTGTATTCCACCTGCATGCATGTTTTTGGAGATGGCAGGAAACTGGAGAACCCAGATAAAACCCACAAGGCCACTGTGAGAGCATGTAAAACTCTGCACAGACTGTAACCCTAGCTTAGCATCAAATGAGGGACCCTGTAGTTGAGAGTTGTATTTATTCACAATTCAGTTCAGAACGATTACAAATAACAGTATATAATTATATATATAATGTCACAGTTGCAGTATATAATTATCCCAGAATGGTCTATTGTGATGAAAATTTGTTTTCTTTCCTGTGAGTCAGCTCAATCTGAACTCAGAGTTAACTCAGTTCATCAGTACGCCAAAATAACTCATCATATTCCACCTTCTACATCTATTTTCATTATGTCAATGATAAAAAGAATAATAATTTGCTCTACATACTGTAAATGTAAAAAAAATTAAAATAGCAAGATGCGACACGTATTGAAAGCAGGATATTTTAATTAAAAACTGTTCTATATTGAATAATAAACCTAGTAGAACCTTGCAAAACCAATATTGCGCTTTTTACTGCTATTGATTGATATCTTGATGCGATATAATTAACTATTACTTTAATAAGAGTGTGAAAAGTAGTTATTACAGGCATTTCTCTTCCTTATGCTGCGGTTTGTACATCTCTTCATTTTTTTTTTGTATGCTAAGAAATGAAATCATGATTGGATAGATGATTTAATCTAGGTACAGTATGTGTGTTTATTTATGCTGAGAGAGGAGGTACACATTTAGTTCACACACTCACTTTAGTTCTTGAGAGCACTGACTAGATCTGATCTCAAAAAAGACTGCTGGAAAAGTAAAATTGTCAAATTGTGTGTCCAATGTAAAGGCAAGAAAATTTATACCACAAACCCCCCTCCCCCCACCCCCACCTCACCACACCACCACACACACACACACAAAATACAATATGAATGCTAAATGAAACAGCATAGACATAATTGTGTGTCCTGTAGGCAAACACTGCAATGATGTGGCCAATATCTTAAACCACCATTACACCAATATTAAGTCATAGTTTGAAAAACATTATTTTATCTTGTCTGGGGGGCTGCACATAAATCGAATTCATTTGCTCACACAGTCAATGACACCGAAGTGACCTTCAGGCTTAGTAAATTACACTGAGAGTGCAAAATAAATCTATTTGCATAGACCCTGTCCTGTGTGCTGCACTTAAAATGGCTTAAGTTATATCTTTAATAAACCAGAGTCTCAGTCTCACTGTCCTTGTGGGCTCTTTGTAGATAATTTTGTGAAGCTGAAATGTAAGCTTGGAGGTGGGGGGACGGGGGACGGGGGGGGGGGGTGTACGGTGATTGGTAGTGCTTTCTAACTATCACCACTCATGAACCGCATAGCAGCGAGAATGAACCATTAAGCATTTAATGGTAGACTGAAACTCTTCATTAGGCTTAAGAGTGCTAAAAGGCAGAAACAAGGACCTAGACTTCCAGGAACAGAAACTGGTTTATAAGAGAAAATCTTTGAGAGTTAAGAGGGAGTTTTCCTGATGAATCATATGTTTGGACATTGCACAGATGTCCTTCCCGACTCGATACTTAGCTATTAGACCTATTAAGTCTAAAAAACAACTTGCAGCCATGAGATGAATGTGGCAATAGATATTTGTTCAAAGCGGGAAGGCGTTTGGAAGAGGAGTGAGAGCTCCTGCCCTGTGGGTTAATGATGATGGATTACTATTAGCATAGCATTAACACTGTGGTTGATTTGTGCCTGTTTAAGGTCACAGGAAATCCGTTTACTTGTCATGTACTGTAGTTGCAACCCAATATGTAATGTTTTGATGTGTTTAATTTGAAATTAAATTGAAGGAATTCAACAAGAGGAAACAGAAGCAAAGATTGTACTAAAATAAGAAATTAAAGTGATTTTATTTCAGGGTAATTATTTGCTTATGTCGTACCTCTACTGGGCAACAACATAATCCCGTAATTATAACTGACATTAAGCTACATAAACATTTATAAAGGCTTATTCCAACAGACACCACCTGGCACAAATATTGCTTCAGTCAGCTTTAATGTTGCTTACTTAACACTCAAGTGAACTAATTCTTTGCATACTTCACACAATGGTGATGAAGTGAAGTGTAACAAGCGGAGTGTTTAGAGTGTGGCAGGGTGCAAGTGCACACACTCAATAAGGTCATAAAAGACAATACAGGACGAACCATAATCATTTTACAAAATGATACACAGAGTACTGTATATAAGAAGGCAAACTAACCAAGAGCTAAATACACTGTAGGTGAACATAATGGGGCAGGGATCGCCACTTCTAAAAGGTGAAATTATTCTAAAATTACAAACCTGTTGCATAACTGTTACCATTTTGCCAATGACAGTCATGACACTGTAACAAGAATGCAAGTTATGATATTTTCTCTGGCCTTTATGTAAAGTGAGTTCAACGAAAACTATTTTCTTTCTTTCTTTTAACATTTTTATCAACACACAGTAAAATCCCTAGTGTTGAATTAACATCCCGATTGTTTGTATAGTCCAAATCAAAACTCTGTCACTTGACATGAGTGTTATTTACATTGACGGCATTTGGCAGACACACTTATCCAGTGTGACTTTATTTGATCTATAATACTGAGCAGTTGAAGGCCCACCAGTTGTGACTTTGGCGGTGTTGGGGTTCGAACTCATAACCTTCTGATCAGAAACCCAACATCTTAACCACTGAGCTACAACTGCCCACTATACCATTGAGGAAATCTGGCTTTCTGAAATAAACCTTACTGCTGGTGACACATAGCATTATGAACACAACATTTTATTAATCCATAACCATAATCTCATATGTATCAATACTATAAAGATAACAATTGTTTTATTTCACTAAGGGCATTCATTCAGTGCTCATGTCTATTACAACAAATGTTTAGTCCAGATTGTCTGTAACATTATAACTTTTCAGCTTTTTAATGAGGTCTATTGCGATGTAAATATCCCATGTCTTTTATCTTTACACTATTATAAATATAATAAGGTGGTAAAGCTGTATTAATTCTCACCACTGAAAAGACGGTATTTGCACAGATCAGTTAAGATATTTCAAAAGAGCACAGTAATATACTGTTTGTGAAGATGGATGTACAACTTTCTTCTATGTATCATTACATAAATTATTCCGTGCCAGTTAACACAATATCCCACCCTTTGAAGTACAAATGACTCCACTTTAGCAGGCAGCGAATTGTGTTTGTTATTAAGTCATACACACAAGTGTGTGGGTAGACACTGTAGAGAAGTGGTGTTCATTATAACAGCCACACATTTTAATAACTGATGTATTATTCATTAAGGTTTAGCCAGAGTGTCATACTTGAGTCTGAATTTTGACAGGAGCTAAAAAAAGGGTTTGGAGATTAAAAATGAACATGTTTACTGGCTTGACAAATTCTTTACAAATATCTGTTATTGTAGGCGTTTATAGAATTCTCAACTGAATTTTATGTCTGTATGTTTTTGTGTTTGCAATCTCTGTCATTGGAGTTTTGATGAAACATTTAGTTTTGACCAAAATTGTTTTTTTATAGTGAAGAAAACAGGATGTGTTAGTGACATTGTCTGGACAACCAGTAAACTGAAATATTTCATTTAAAGGTAAATATTCTTTCAAGCCAACCCTTATAGATAATGACATGTTTGCATTTCCTAAGAATATATCAAATAAATGCAAGTAACATATTCATCCATACTGCTTATCCTACACAGGGTTGTGGGGAGCCTGGAGCCTATCACAGGGAATTTGGGGCATAGTGTGGGGGACACACAGGACGGGGTGCTAAGCCATTGTAAGGCACAATGCACACACATTCACACACTACAGACAATTTGGAAATGAAAATCAGCTTATAATGCATGTCCTTGGATTGGGGCAGGAAACCAGAATACTCAGAGGAAACCCCTGAGGCATAGGGAAAACATACAGTACACACACAGGACAGAGGTGAGATTCGAACCCTCAACCCTGGAGGTGCGAGGCAAACGTGCTAACTACTAAGCCAACATGCCCCCCAAACCCGATGCAGACAACATATTATCTTTGTAAAAGAAAAATTGTTTTTAAAATTCCCCTTTGGACAATTTGTTGTCGGATTTGACCAAATAAAAGGTTGTGCATATATAACATCTCTTTGTCCTCTATCATCATGCGGAAAACCAAAGAGCTTTAAATACTTACTGCACAAGCAGACCTGCACAAGCTGATGGATGTAAAAATGCACAAATACGTAATTCCATCAACCAAAGGCACCATGTAAAAAAAATAATAATCCCCAACCTTATTAGACAGTACAAGAATTGTCTCAGTGATGGTATTATCTCCAGAAGAAGCTTCACCAAGAACTTATGGTATTCATCAAAATATTTCTGATCACTCATTTTTCCACAAAAGATGCCAATGATTCTGAGCTTGACTCAGTTGTTCAGATAACTTTACAAGCATACGTACACTGATACAGCTCTACAGAGGGGTATGAGTCATCAGGGTCTATTTTTGTGCAGAAATTTGAAGAGTAATTACGCACAGGACATCATGTAATAAAAAAAAAATCAATAAGTTGTCTAACATAAATTAAATACTAGGGAAATCTAATCATATATAACAACGAAATGTGGCTATACTAAGCTGCTGGCTTGCTTTTTTAAATGGAATGAGAATAGTTGATTTGATTGGATATCATCTAATACAAGGTGTCCCAGAAATCTCCATACATAGGGGAAATTAACACATATTAGCAACATGTCTAATTTAATTCAAACTTAGTTTATATTAGAGTTTTTCTTTTTCAGATAGCCTTTAATAATGCCTTTGACAAAAGAAGAATGTATTGAAATCTTTCTCATGGCTGGATCAGGAAGCTGTCGAAAGGTTACAATGGACTTCAACAGGAAACATGGCGAGAACATCAACACACGAGACTGTTCCAAACTTATTCACAAATTCAAAAAGACTGGAAGTGTTGCAGACCAACCAAGAAGTGGACATTCACGAACATCCACTGATGAAGACACAACTGACATGTTGCTGGTGAACATGGCCCTCTGGAGACTTTTGGGACACCCTGTTCATTCTAACTCAAGCTATTTTTTTTTGCCGGGTTACTACTTGGTCATACAAATATAAACTATATTTCTACACTGTTAAAAGACAGGCAGCAGGGGCACTAGGGGCAAACCATTAAATTACAGTCATTTACAGTGTGGAAAATGGTCATACACTGCCAGTCAAAGGTTTTTGAGCACCTGCAGATGAAACTAAATAATACAGAATAACAATTAAATAAGTAAACTATGTGGAAGTAAAGTCAAATGATAAAGTCAGGCAAACTTGGAGAACAAACCTCTTTAAGCCTATAGATAAAAAGACTCACAGACAATTATTATCTTTAAAATATGAATTTGTAGTGTGCTACATAGTGCCTAAGTAGTGTGATAAAGATTTTGCACTCATTACATTTTCTCTAGATACAATAAAATAAAAAATAATGTCTAACACAATTTTAAACTTTTCTCATTTCTCATCTCGCTTATAACTATTTCTTGGTTCAATTTTAAGATGCGTGTATTTAAAATTAGGTCATGAATAATAAATGACTTAATAAAATCTACAGTGTTAGATAGACAAACCATGTAGTAATTAACTTTCCATAAAAAGCTGGAACTGTATGATGATGATGATGATGATTATTATTATTATTATTATTATTATTATTATTATTATTATTATTAATTTCAGTCAGATTAAACAAATTAAACCAGAATGGTGTGCTGACCATGTAATGCTATCTTTTTGTGACTGAATGTGGATAATTCCCAAAACTTGAGGGTGGCTGGCCCTGTCCCTAGCTCAGTAAAATGTTTAAATATGCTTGAGTAAGCAAAGACACATATAAATTGAGATGTCTCCATAGACCTATAGAAGGCATTTTGAGAAAAGTTTCACTAATGCGCTTACATTAATTGGTTAGATTTAACGGTTAGCTTGTTTTGTTTGCTAATACCAGGTTATACTAGCATCAATTCCAGTAGCTAGCATAATTGCATTTACATTTAAAAGTACATTTACATTTAAATGTAGCAACATTTTTACTGTCATATGAGTACATATTTTGGCTTCTCACTTTTTCATCCTTCACACTTTTCGCTTTTCACATCTGTTCACTTAATTGAGTATGATTTTGACACCTTCTCTATACTTTCACTTAAGTATAATTTCTCAGTGCTTTGCACCTCTGCTTATCCTAGATTCTGTCTCTGCCTTCATCAGCACATTTATAGATCGCTTGACTCATTGCCTGTTTTCTGGTTTTGATTATTGCCTTGCCCTTTTGGTTTGTCTGCCCTGGTTTACTCAATAAATTGAACCCTGTGCTTTCATTTATTCGGAAATTATTCCTTCGTAACTCAGAAGTAGAGCTGTGAGAGAGCATAAACTGCATAGTGCTGAGTGATTGGCTATATGTGTTCCAGTAAGAGGAAAGCTCACTGTTCTTGCAGAATAAAAGTGGTGTGTTTGTATGAGGACTTCTGATTAATCCATGGAGCAAGTGAAGGGCTCAGCAGAAAAGGTTCAATAAAAGCGGAACGTTGTCGCCCGTTGACCTCGCCATGGGTGCTGGTGCAAGGAGAATAAACAGGCAGTTGTCCACTTCATTTATGCCTGGCTTTGGGGATATAGGCAGAGACAGGTGATGCTCGAGTCCAAATCCCGCTCCTCCTTTCTGCTTGACTGGATAATAATTTACTGGGCATTGGAGAGCCGGCATGCTGGCCTGCACACAGGAAAACCGCCCATCGTATTTTCATTCTCTCTCCCTCTTCTCCTCAAATCCCTCTGTAGTTGTGTGTTAGAAAGATAACACCTGTCTCCTTCTTGCCCTTCACACAAATTGCAATGTCAGGCTGAAAATGCGTTCTGTAAATGTGCATCATGGCAGGAATACCCGAATTATGAGTTTTACTCCTGAACCAGCTCAGTGTCTTGGCATGAACATAATGTTACCTATTATTTACCAAAAAAATATATAATCTTGGATGTTGAGGTCGTGTCAGCAAATAACATTTTAAATCACATTATACCACAGTGCTGTTGAGTTCTTCAGTCTGATTAGTCAGAAGGTGTTGATTAATCTTATATAATAGCACGGTTCTGATGGCAATTTTTTTTGGTTACAAGGCCGACCAGAGGTTTATATAAATGTGTTCATTTTTTTACTTCCTGCTTACATTGCTGACATACATAAGGGTCACACACCATCATGGTTTATTCCTTAAGTCATAATAACCTTCATTTTTGTATCTTCATCATACCTTCATCTCTACCAAAGACTGCGGGTGAATCACAGCTCCAGATAACCAGGTTAGATCTGTGTGTAAGGATTCCTATGGTCAGATCACATGCCTCAGAGTTAATAATTCAGTGGCAGGGCCAGCTGTTAGGCCTATAATGCACTCTGCATGAGGTCCTCCATAGCCTGAGCACTTTAGTCAGGACTCCAGAAACATGTTTAGAGAATCTTTTATAGCGAGGGAAGACAATCATTAGAGACTCGAGGAATGAATAGGTAATTGCTTCTTTGCAGAGCATTAATGGTACATACAGACTTAATTTGTTTTGTCAAGTACTCAAAATTGCACATTCTTGTTGTTCAGAGCTTTTTTTAACAGGCAATTTTGATGTGCAGTTAC